CACACTCTGGGGCCCAGACTACTAACTTAGGGAGGTTCTTGCGGGTCAGGTCTGTGAGGGGTTTGGCAAGGGCGCTATAGTTGGCCACAAACTTCCGGTAGTACCCGGCGGTCCCTAAAAATGCGAGCACTTGGGTCTTGGTGCGAGGGGTAGGCCATTGGGCGACTGCCTCTATTTTAGCAGGTTCGGGTTTCTGCTGTCCACTCCCTACCCGGTGCCCTAGGTACTGGACTTCCGCCATACCGATATGGCATTTGCTGGGTTTTAGGGTCAGTCCGGCCTCTCGGATTCGGTCTAGAATGGCTCCTATGTGAACTAGATGTTCGTGCCAGGAGTGGCTGAATATGGCGATATCATCTAGATACGCGCAGGCATACTCCTGGAACCCATCTAACAGTCTGTCCACCATTCTCTGGAAGGTAGCTGGAGCGTTTTTCATCCCGAATGGCATGACCTTAAGCTGATACAGGCCAAACGGGGTGACAAAAGCCGACTTAGGGATGGCGTCGTCCGCTAAGGGAATCTGCCAGTACCCTTTGCACAAGTCTATAGTGGTTAGGTATTGACCCCTGGCCATCTTATCGAGGAGTTCGTCTATTCGGGGCATGGGATATGCGTCAGAGGTCGTTTTATCGTTGAGCCGTCGGTAGTCTACGCAGAAACGGGTCGTCCCGTCCCGTTTCGGCACCAGTACTACCGGAGAGGCCCAGGGGCTGTCCGAGTGCTCTATTACTCCTAGCTGAATCATCTCCTCAATTTCCTTGCGCATATTCTCCTTGACTGCTTCTGGAGTGCGGTAGGGGGGTTGGCGCAAGGGGGTTGAATCTAACGTTTCTACCTTATGGGTAGCCAACGGGGTATAGCCGGGTAAATTGGAAAACGTGGCCTTCTTTTCCTGAAGCAACCTTTGTACCTGGGCCCGCTCTTGGGCATTTAATCGTTCTCCTAACTGTACCTCTCCCAGATCTCCGCTCTGGCCCTCTTGGTCTAGGAGATCGGGTAGGGGTAGGTTATCAAAATCTTCCGTGGCAGGGGCACAGATTGCGGTGACTTCCTCCGTCCGTTCGTGGTATGGCTTGAGCATGTTCACATGGAGCATGCGTTTGCCTCCCACGCCGGTAACCAGGCCGATCACATAGGTGGTGTCACAGATCTGTTCCACCACCTTGTATGGGCCCTGCCAGGAAGCCTGCAGCTTATCTTTGTGGACGGGTCGCAGGATTAAGACTTTCTGCCCCACCTGAAAGCTGCGGTCCCTGGCTCCCTTATCATACCATCGGCGCTATCGTTGTTGCGCTACCTGGAGATTGTCTCGGACGGTCTGGGTTAGCCTCTCCAGGCGTTCCCGGAACTCGAGCACATATGGTAAGATAGGGGTGCCATTAACGGTTTCGTCTCCTTCCCAGTGTTCCCGTATCAAGTCAAGAGGTCCCCTCACTCTCCTCCCGAATAATAATTCGAACGGAGAGAATCCGGTGGATTCTTGCGGCACTTCTCGATACGCGAACAGTAGGTGGGGTAAGAACCGCTCCCAGTCCTTTTGGGTGTCTATGAACGTGCGGATCATTTGTTTCAGGGTTCCGTTAAATCGTTCACAGAGCCCATTGGACTGGGGGTGATATGGGGAGTTGAGGATTTGTTGTATCCCACATATTTTCCAGAGCTGATGGGTCACTTCCGCAGTAAACTGGGTGCCTCTATCGGAGATAATCTCCCGGGGAAATACTACCCGGGTGAATATCCTCATCAGGGCCTCGGCTACCGTTTCTGCGTGTACGTTCGTTAGGGCCACTGCCTCGGGGTACCGGGTGGCGTAGTCCACCACAGTTAGGACATACTTCTTGCCGGAGGGGCTGGGCTTTGCGAGGGGACCTATAATGTCTACTGCCACCCTACTGAATGGTTCTTCAATGATGGGCAGAGACCGTAGTCGGGCTTTGTATCTGTCCCCCCTCTTGCCTACCCTTTGGCAGGTATCGCAGGTCTGACAATACCACTTAATATCCTGGGAAATACCTGGCCAAAAGAAATTTTGGGTCAGCCTGTGCTTGGTCCGACTGATGCCTAGGTGTCCAGACAGGGGGATATCATGGGCTATGCGTAACAGCTCTAACCTATATTTTCGAGGCACTATTAGCTGTTTAATGGGCAATGGTATTGACCCGGACACTACCTTCTCCGCGTGCCGATATAGTAGCCCCTTGTCCCAGATATATCTTTCCCCCTCTAACCCAGCTTGATTTTTATCCATGCGGTCTTTGTACACTTGTAACGAAGGATCTAGGGCTACTTCGGCCCCGAACTCTAGGGAATTGGCCCAGGGCAGGGTAGGAGGTAGGGGAGGGTCATTGCTTACCTGAGCCTCAGAGTGTTCGAATGGTGCAGTGGTGCGGGCCTGTTGCCGGGTCACAACCGGGTATGCTTCTTGTACGGTGGGCTGGGGCACAAAAGCCGAAGTCAGCTCCCCCAAATCGTTGCCCAAAATCACATCCGCTGGCAAGTCTTGCATCATCCCCACATATACATTCCCGTGCCCCGCCCCCCAATTCAAGTGCACCTTGGCCGTGGGTACTTTGTAAATGGCTCCCCCAGCCACCCGCACAGCCACACAGTCCCCCGTGAGCTTGGGCTTTGGTACCAGATGACTGCGTACTAGAGTTAGGGTGGCTCCCGAGTCACGAAGTCCTTGTACTTTCCTCCCTTCCATGTGTACTTCCTGGCGGTGCCCTTGGCGGTTATCGGAGGCGGCCTGGACAGGGTTCACCTCGTGTAGAGTACCGAGAGGTTCCTCCCGGGTCGTCCCCAACTCCAGGTTTTGGTCGGATTCGGCCTGTAGACAGTGGACTGCGGCACGGTTGCTCGGGGCGGCGTTATTCCAGCTGGGTCGAGGCCCGTTCCGTGGGCAGTCTCTCTGGATGTGCCCCTGTTGGTTGCAGGTATGGCACCGGATTGGTGGACGTGCTGAATATCTGGGGGGGTAGGAATTCTGATTTACCCCTGGTCGCTGGTACGTTGCGGGGCCCCCTGGAGGGCTGGCCGTTGTAGGGGGAATGGTGGCTCGGGTTGGTATAGGTTGATCCCTCCGATTGTCCTGGAAATCGTCTGCCATATTAGCCGCTTCCTGCAGGGTGTGTGGCTTCCTGTCCCGGATCCAGTTTTGTAGGTAGGTCGGGACGCCATTGAAGAATTGTTCCAGTACCATTAGCTGGAACAGACCCTCCAATGTATCAACTTGGGCGGCCTCCAGCCACCCCTTGGCAGCTCGTTGTAGCTGGTGCGCCCACTCCACATGGGTGTCCTTACTGGGTTTTTTAATGTCCCGAAACTTCTTTCGGTATGCCTCTGAGGTGATGGCATACCGGGCTAGGATGGCCCGTTTTACTTTAGCGTAGTCTCTACTATCCTCGTCTGGTACTGCCCGGTACGCTTCAGCGGCTCGCCCAGATAATCTCCCCGCTAGTAGGGGTAC